GGTGGTGCCCTGCGTCGGGGGCGTTGATTACCCCGTGGATAAACCCGCAGAGCCCATGCACGTCACCATTCTTGGCAATTCATACGAAGTCCAGGTCCAGTACCACGTCTTGAATAACATCACCTACGTTTTGCTGGATGCCCCTGTGTTCCGTCAACAGTCCAAGTCAGAGCCTTACCCCGCCCGCATGGACGACCTGAACAGCGCCATTTACTACTCCGCCTGGAATCAGTGCATTGCTGAGGCCTGCAAGAGATTCCCGATCGACCTCTATCATATCAACGATTACCACGGTTCCCTGGCTCCTCTGTATCTACTCCCAGATACAGTGCCTGCCTGTCTTTCCCTGCACAACGCCGAATTCCAAGGTCTGTGGCCCATGCGGACGCAGAAAGAAAAGGAGGAAGTTTGCTCTGTGTTCAACCTGGATATCGAGACCGTGAGGCATTACGTGCAGTTCGGCGAGGTGTTCAACTTGCTCCACTCGGGTGCTAGCTATCTTCGTGTTCACCAACAGGGTTTCGGTGCTGTCGGTGTGTCAAAGAAGTATGGAAAGCGGTCCTACGCGCGTTACCCCATTTTCTGGGGTCTCCGAAAGGTTGGAAACCTACCTAACCCTGATCCGTCCGATGTCGGTGAATGGAGCAAGGAACAGGCTAGCGCTATGGGTGATAATGTGACCGTGGATCCGACTTACGAAGCTGGACGAGGTGACCTCAAGCGTCAAGCTCAGGAGTGGGCCGGTCTGGAACAAAACCCTGACGCCGATTTGCTTGTCTTCGTTGGTCGTTGGTCGATGCAGAAGGGTGTTGATTTGATCGCCGACGTCATGCCTGCTGTCCTGGAAGCGCGCCCCAATGTTCAGCTCATTTGTGTTGGACCGGTCATCGATCTCTACGGTAAATTCGCGGCCCTCAAACTGGACCATATGATGAAGGTCTACCCCGGACGAGTGTTTTCCAGGCCCGAATTCACGGCATTGCCCCCCTACATCTTCTCTGGTGCTGAATTCGCGCTGATTCCCTCTCGTGACGAGCCCTTTGGTCTGGTCGCCGTCGAGTTCGGACGTAAGGGAGCTTTGGGTATCGGTGCCCGGGTTGGTGGTCTCGGTCAGATGCCAGGTTGGTGGTACAATGTGGAATCGACTTCTACTTCTCATTTGCTCGTTCAATTCAAGCTGGCTATCGACGCGGCGCTCAGTTCGAAAACGGAAACTCGTGCCATGATGCGTGCCCGGTCCGCCAAACAGCGCTTCCCGGTGGCCCAGTGGGTGGAAGACTTGGAGATCTTGCAAACCACCGCCATCCAAGTGCACAACAAGGAATTGGTCAAACATAATGGTCGACCCTTCACCCCGTCTGGAACTACCACGCCGAGTGGCATCTTGAGCCAGCCGTCAAGCCCACTGATGCCCCCGGGAATGCAGACCCCCATGGCCCATTCTCGGGACAGCAGCTATTCGAACCTGAACCGTCTCAGTGAATATGTCACAGATCCGAAAACAAACTACAGTCGCGATATCAGCCCCAGCGGTACTGAAAAGCCGCGGTCCGGTCTGCAACGGCAGCTCTCACTTGGTGTTCGCTCCGGACCTGGTCATCAAGAGCGCCGTGGCCGTCGTGGACGCCAACGCGACAGTATCCCCGAACACGAAGACACGGCCGGGGCCATGACTGACGTTGAAGAAGACCACGAGGATATTGGCGATCAGCAGGACGCGGACGACGAGTACACTCTCACCCCGGCCCAGGTCGAGGAAGGACGTCGCTTGCAGGCGGTCCAGCAGCAGGGAGTTGGTATGGCCACGAGCCCGGGCATTCGCCGTTATAGTCAAGACTCCTTGCATCCGCGACAGCTTCCTAGCAGCCCTGGACCCGTTCCCACTCCTACACAGAGCCTCCTCCCGCCACCCAGGCTTGGGGATGCCGGTAGCCGACTCAGTAGCGCATCTGTTCTATCTCTGGACTCGGTCGTTGGCACCAAGACGGACTTTAAGCTGCAGAAGGTCGACCCCTTCTTCACCGATTCTACCGGCGAGTACTACAAGGCATTCGACAAGAAGCTGACCGGCTTGAACGGCTCGAATTCCGAATCCCAGCTTTGCATTGAAGAATATCTCATTAAGAGTGAAAAGGAATGGTTCGACAAGTTCCGCGATGCTCGACTGGGTCGTCTGAAGTCCCCCGCTTCGTCCGTCTTCCGGGACAAACATGGTGCCTCCCCCGTTGGTTCATACTACGATGACACTGGCTCTCGGGTGAGTGGCGACGATGATCGAGAGTCTCGTGATACGGAAGACGACGAGTTCCTCCTGGGTAAGGATTACGTGCCTCCGACGGGTCTGCGCAAGTGGATGCAGATTCGTGTCGGAGACTGGCCAGTCTACTCGTTGTTCCTTGCCTTGGGTCAGATCATTGCAGCAAACTCTTACCAGGTGACCTTGCTTACCGGTGAGGTCGGTGAGACGGCCGAGAAGCTTTATGGTATCGCTACCACCTACCTGATCACCTCAATCCTCTGGTGGCTCGTGTTCCGTTACTTCAAATCGGTAGTTTGCCTCTCGGCTCCCTGGTTTTTCTATGGCCTTGCCTTCCTCCTGATCGGCTCCGCCCACTTCGAACCCAACTCATTCAACCGGGGTTGGATCCAGAACATCGGCAGTGGATGCTACGCCGCTGCCTCCTCTAGCGGTTCCATCTTTTTCGCCCTGAACTTTGGTGATGAAGGTGGTGCGCCGGTTGAAACCTGGATCTTCCGGGCCTGTCTCATCCAGGGTATCCAGTCGGCTTATATTATCGGACTCTGGTACTGGGGTTCTACCCTGACCAAGGCATCCAGCCAGGGTTTGTTGACCTCGACGAACAATATCGCCAACAGCTGGAAGATGACGTGAGTATATTCAAGCCCCTGATTCATCGATCAATCAGCCATCTAGTCAGTCATTCGGCTCGCTAACAATGATCTCCTCTAGTGCCATCTGTTACCCGATTGCAATCTTCCTCTGGGCTGTTGGATTGTTGCTGCTCTTCGGACTTCCCAATTACTATCGCCAGACCCCTGGAAAGGTGGCCTCCTTCTACAAGTCCGTATTCCGCCGCAAGATCGTCCTCTGGAACTTCGTTGCCGTCATCCTGCAAAACTTCTTCCTTAGCGCACCTTACGGTCGCAACTGGGGCTGTAAGTCTATCTCTTCCCGCCATATCTTGTCGAACTGGCAAGCTAACTCTACTCTGCAGTCCTTTGGTCTTCCAACCACGCTAAGGCCTGGCAAATCGTCATCCTATGTATCGTCTTTTACGGGTTCGTCTGGGCGGGCTTCCTGTTCGTCGTCAGCCGCTATTTCAAATCCCACAGTTGGTTCCTGCCCGTGTTTGCGTGCGGACTCGGGGCGCCTCGCTTCATACAAATCTGGTGGGGTGTCTCGGGCATTGGCTACTTCCTTCCCTGGGTCTCCGGAGGCTATCTCGGCGGAGCTCTGGCCTCACGGAGTCTCTGGCTCTGGCTGGGTGTGTTGGATTCGATCCAGGGTCTCGGGTTCGGTATTATCCTGTTGCAGACCCTGACCCGCATGCACATGCTGTTCACCTTGATCTGCTCGCAGGTGCTTGGTTCCATCGCCACCATCTGTGCCCGAGCGTTTGCCCCGAATAACGTCGGGCCCGGTCCTGTGTCGCCGGACCCTACCTTTGGAGGAAGTGCAGTGGCCAATGCGTGGTTCTGGGTGGCCCTGTTTTGTCAGCTGCTGGTGTGTGCTGGCTTCCTCCTCTTCTTCCGGAAAGAGCAGCTTTCCAAACCTTGAACGCCTTAATGATGTGGTGGTGCGCTTGAGCACCACTGGGCATGAACATTATACATACGTCCCCACCATTCTTTCCTTCTTACCTTCCTTCCTTACCTACCTACCTACCTACCTACCTACCTACCTACCTACACCCCTTGGATATACTCTTACTGTCTGTCATAATATAATCTTTTCTGTATGTATATAGAAGGTCGCATGATGAACCGGATAAGGTTCCGGTCGTCTCATTGAATACCATTTTGGGATTGGAAAACAGATCCCTGCAGATTCATCTGCTGTTAATATCTTTGATCGTGCGAGAGTGTTTAGAATCGTTGATTGTAAATGGCATATCGTAAGAAGTGTTGGATGAGATGCGAGAGGTAGCCAGTAGTCAGTAGCTTGTATTAGGTGCCTAATAGTGAGCCTAACCATCTCTCCAGTGTCGTATGCCTGCCACAACCCAGGAAGGGATAGATTGCTGCCTCAGGTTCTCAACATTTACCAAAGGAACCGCAGAAAAGAATGCTTTACTAGCAACAAAATAATAATCCGAACGATTATGTTATAGTTAATCCAAAAGGGAACAAAATCAATTAGTCAAAAAGAGAAAAAGAAAAAAAAGGAAACCAGAATCCGAAAGGGAGTCCCGAAACAACTCCCGCTTCGGCCGGGACTATTCCCGATGTAGACAACCGGGAGCTCCACCGCGGTCCTTCCGGGCGAGGCAGACGAACTAATAATATTGAGAATGCGGGAGGAAGTGGGAAGTTAGAGAGAGAGACACTCTGGAACAGTTGTCCCCCCCCCATCCCTCCCTCTCTTTCCTCTCTCTCTTCTCTCCTTTCTAGTTCTCTTCATCCTCTTCCTTCCATCTAACTTCTCCCATTATGTTAATACGGATTGCTTGACTCCACACCTAACACTGCTGTCCCCATCACATACATATACTGTGTGCACACAATACATACCCTCTCTCTCTCGTCATCTACTTGTTTGAACATCTATCATGAGGGAAAAAAACGCTACTTGATGAGCTCATTGCTCCTTCAATGTGGAATGATGGAAAGATGGAAAGATGGAAAGACGAAAGATGATGAAAATGCATCGACATTGGCTAACAACTTGCCGTTCGCTGATTACAATAACACAGGAAAGAAACAACAGATGGACTGAACCCGACCCGAACTGACTCCCAAACGAAAACCCCTTCTCCTTCCTAAACATCCACCTTGAACGATGTGAGCCGCGCCTTGATCGCCTCCTCCGACTCGTCCGTGTCCAACTCCCGAAGAACACCGCTTCCGACATCATAAATCAGCCCATGGACCTGCAGCCCACGTTCCTGGATCGCCTCCAACACCACGCTCTTCTCCTTCAACAGCTTGACTCCCTCCAAGACATTCAGCTCAACCAGCTTAAGGTTCGCCTGATCAGCCGGCAGCGAGTTCAGCAGATCCAGGTTCTTGGCCCGGAGCTGGCGCAGGGGCAGCAACCAAGGGTCCAGGATTCCCAACTGTTTGTTACCCAGGGCCGCGGCGACACCACCGCAGCTGGTGTGACCACAGAGGACTACATGGTTGACGCGCAGGTAACGGACCGCGTACTCGATCACGGCAGAGGAGCTGAGGTCGCCGGCGTGCAGGACGTTGGCGATGTTCCGGTGGACAAAGACATCGCCCGGCTTAAGACCAAGAAGAGTGGTTTCGGGGCATCGGGAATCGGAGCAGCCGATCCAGAGGATCTCGGGCTGCTGGCCGTTCGCGAGCGTTGGGAACAGTGAGGGGTCTTCCTTGGAGATCTGTGCTGCCCAGTCTTTGTTCTGGTGCAGAGCAGAGGTGAAGCGGTCTGCGTCTGTATTAGCACACGCTGGTGGCTTGGTGGTTGAGAAGCAGGCGGCTTGTCGAGGTGGGAAAAAGGAGACACGCTGGGAGGGAAGAGGAAAGCTGGCTCGTGAACTTGACTGCATCCCCGACCGGGGGAAGGTATGTATCCCGACCCTGGAATACATCCGCTGCAGTCGCGAAACAAGCCTTGTGGACTCCATGATGGTGTGAAGAGGATGGGAGGACAAAAATGCAGCACCACGAGGATGAGTCACAGCCAGGGGAACTCGAAAAAAAAATCAAACGGATATCAAAAATGGAAGCGCAGGGTTTTCGATATGTTTGCAAGTTGGCACTCGATGAAGCAACAAAGATGGTACAGGAACAGAGGCAACGACACGCTGAGATTTCGCTGTGGAGGGAGTTGAGGGAAAAGATGAGGAAAAGGTAAAATCTGTGGGGAGCCGCCGCTTTGCGAGTCTATCCAGAAACGCCAAGAATGGATGGTTCTATTCTGCTGGTGCTGATGCTCACGTACCTGTGCCAGTGGACGCCATGATAACTGATGTTGAAGAGAGATTTTGCAGTGACCTTGTCGGACAGTCTTTTGGATTCAGGATACTGAGTATTTTGAGTTGGCTACAACGCTCCCTTTCTTTCTTGCCCCCCGCCGGCAATTCCTTGGGGATTCTCGTCGGCAATGCCACCCCCAACCATGCAAACAATGCAAACACCCCAACTCACCGGACACCAAAAGGCGCCATCGGTCACATTTTGGTCGAATTAGACCTCTAGAGATAGGCAGATCAGCAGCTAGGGGAGATGCATATACTACATTGCTAACCAATTTGCACCCGATAAGGGTGCATCCAGGGGGATCCAGGGGGACTACCATACGAGTTGGTGGTGGCCTTCCCTTCGGCCGTGCAGGCACCCGCCTCCCTTGTTGAGACGCTCGGCAATCCCCGGCGTCACGTGTGGATGGGGTGTCCGCTTTTTGCCGTTGAACCCCCAACAGTCGAGACTGGGTCGACAATGCTGTCTCCGAGGAGAAACCGGTTAGTAGTGATCACATTGGAGTGATCAAGGCACCTAGCGGATATGATGGGATTCTGTGTGGCTGTAATGGTCACTCGGAGGGTGTCTACAGTAGTCTGTAATGTCGCAGGGAGGTTCGTAGGCCGCCATTCCTTATGCACCAGCTGCGTCGATGCGCAAGCACGGTAGTATGCCATCCTTGAAGTACCACTGAGACATGCACCGCCAGTATGGGCAGACTGTCCAAGTTATGATCCACTGCTTCGGGGTCCGGGTGAGGGTTGCTCCTACCCCGGCAGAAACCCCGGGAACAGTAGTACCTATCTCTAAGATCGACCTCAACAATCCTATGCTCCATTTACATGCTGCGAACCACCAGTATATCTCGTAAGTCCTATGTTGTGTGCCGTGCCAATCTCCGCTGTAAGCTGGAATGGCTGCCTCACATTATTAGAGGATCCAAATCCGCCCAATTATTTATCGGATAAGGCGACAGCGGATCAAGCGCGAAACACCAGTCGAAGTCAAGCTGTCTCTACATATAAAGACGTAGTCAGAATCGAGGCACATAAGAATCAAGCAGAATTGCAAATACATACCAGATCATCAGCTGCAGCATCATCCCAAGCCACTGGCCGCGGGGCATTCGTATGATGACACGCATCTACAGCTGTATCTAGTTTCAAACCTTGCGTTTGCGAAGACTTTGCCTGCTTAAACTTAGCTGGTATACCCAGAGTAAAATCAGCAGAAGACAATGAATAACACCTACCACTTGATATACCCCACCACCCTCTCCCTCCGCAAAGTGTCCTATTCCTCTCCCCTCATCCTGACGTTGATGTCCCTCCAATAACACATCTCTACACCTCCTCGAAGCAACCGGACATGCATCATCGACACCCAACGGCACCGTCTCCTCACCCCCACCCCCATCTATACTTCCATCCTTAACAGCTACCATCTCACTCCTAACCACCATAAAAAGAATCGTCAACATACTAAACATCTTCGTCGCCCTCTTCTCCACTCTCACCTTCCCCTCAAAATACCTAATCGTGTTCTCCACGCTCTCGAACAGCGCCAGCCGCTGATAATACACGCTTTGATCCATGTAGTTCGAGATACTACTACTCCCCGGAAAAGGTATATTGAATACTCGGTCATGGGATTTGGTTTGTAAGCGTAGCTCGAAGCAGATTGTTGCTGCCGCGTGAAAGAGGTCGTCGCGGAAGAGGCCGCCTTTGAGGTGGTGTATGTGTGGGGAGAATTGGTTGTCGTTGTTAGGTAGTGGTGCTGATGGCTGGTTGTTGTTGGGGCAGTGGTGTGGAAAGCGCTCTAGCTGAGAAAGCAAAGCTAGGCTGGTCTGGACGCAAACTCGTCGCGAGAATATGAAGGGTTCCTGGTCGAGTTGGGTTTCTGTGAAGCGCAGGAAGAAGGGTCGGTGGAGGGCAAGGAGGCTGCGGTAGTGCAAGAAGAGGAAGAATGAGCGGCGGAACAGTGTGTTGACGCTGCTGTCATTAGGTGAGGGTGATGTACTGGTGTCGTCTCGAAGGTCTGCTGGAGCCTGCGCCAGTCCTGTTGTCAGGCGTTCGCTGAGGGTGGTGACTTCATTGTTGTAAGTCGCGCTCAGGCGTACCCGATTGACCATTTTGGATATAGCTATTCGAGTCTCTAGTGTCTGCGCTAGAGCAATCTGGAAGGATGTTCTGGTTAGGGTATTCGATTGCCTCGAGGGAGGTAGATGGAGCGAGTCGATGGTAATGTCCTCATCGTCAATGTCAGATGGCAAAGGGCTGTCAAATTCGTCCCATGATACTGCCAATGGTATCCCACTGTACAGAGAGGCTTGGAGCTCCAGCTCGATGATGGTCAGCCAGAGACGTTTGCGCAGTTCAGCCCAGAATGGGGAGACGTTGGGGAAATTGCATGGATCCCGATGAAGGCCCATGAGCAGCGCTTCGCGGAGTAGTGAGCCGGATGCTAGGCTGGCAAGATCGCCATCTTGGGCGGTTGCTTGCTGTGCAAGGAGCAGTAGGCATTTGATCTGGATCACATCCAGATTCAGTTGGGCGTGGCTTGTCATGGCTGCTAGCCATGTGGTGACTGCTGAGATCCAAGTATGACATGTCTGTATCAGTGACTGCGGGCTGAAGCCTGCTGATGCCAGTGGTTCTGTGTTCTCGGTAGCGAAGCAGCTGGCGCATGCCATTAACATCAGGAGTTTTGCGATAAAGATGTCAGACTTGTTATTAAGCAATCCGTCAGCGTGGGATACGCTACGATCACAGAACGCATTCCATTCGCTGATGAATGATGGGACGTGCAGTATGCGTAATGTTGTCTCGAAGGTTGAGAAGTATGATCGCATCAGGTATTCGGCTAGAGGACGATCAGGCAATAATCCAATCAGTTTTGAAGAGGGTGGCTGGTCGCTCTGTCGTCGTCTCTCAGGTCCCCTCAGATCATGTTTTAGTCGTCTTAAGGATAGGTAATCCGTGAATCCTGGGTTGGTGGGAGTTTGCTTGTTCCGATAGTACTCATGCAAATGGGCGTTGAAATCGGGGAACTGCAGTTGACTTGTTAGCCATGCAATTAAGCCAAATGGAAACAGCTTGATTCTTACCATCCCAAGGGTAGTCGCCCAGTGACTCCGTCCAAAAAACCGGGTTCTTTGTTGCTTCCCTCGAAATGACAACGGCGAGAGATATTGAGAGAAGGTATCCCCTGATGCAGATGAGGCCTGCCCTCTATCATATTGAGGCTCTACGTCAAAGCATCGAGGGGCTGTGATTCCCCTCGTCGAACCCACTGCATTCAAGGGTGACGACCGAAAGATAGACCTTCTCGCAGCAGCATCCCCATCAACATTGCACGTACTCCCAGCAGTGACAGTAGACGGGGGCGTATCAAGCGAAAGCCCAGCAGACAGTTGCCTGACCCCACTTGCACTTCGCGCATCTTCACGGGGTACATTCGGCAACCTTTTGGCAGATCTAGGTCTTACTACCAGGGAAGATTGCGACGGAGAAGAAGTAGCAGAAGGATAGAAGCAAGCATCTTGGGCGTTGGCGCGCACACACTGCGCGCAGGGCTTTGAACGATCGCACTTGACTTTGCGATCGCGACAGGAAGCGCATGACAGGGCCTTCCGGTGTCTTCGAGTAGGGACAGGTCGTCGTTGGGGATTTACTCTCATGATGCTTCGCTTGGTTGCGTTTAAGTGGTCCGGCTGCGCGGGAGCCATGACACCGTGAGGTGAGGGTGGTTGACCCGCTAATCGGAGTTGGACAAACGTAGTAAAGGTAGGGTCCGAGAATTTCGGATATGAAGTAAATGAGAATTAAATGAGACAAAATTAGATCATGGTGGCTGAAGTGGGGGAAGAGAGAATAGTATGATGATGTTCTTCGGTGTTAAGACATATCCTAATCAGGAATTAGGGAAGTCCGGACCGGCGTCTTACCGTATGTGGTAAGCCGAAGTCCGCCGGCCTGTTGGTTGTCCCAAAGAAGTAATATAGCCATGTGTAAGGCGATCTATACTGGACCTCATTCACTACTGTTCTGGGAGTGCGTATGTCTGCTCAAAACCTCCCTACAAGGTCTTATTTTGCGACTTCGTCTACTTACAGCAAACATTGGTCGACTCAACCGCCGAAAGACGACAGAAACATGAAGCATTGATAGGAACATCCGCCGAAGCCAGCGCAACGTCGCGTTGAGCACGAATATACCGAGCCTTGTCATGCATCCCCTGCCGAATCAGACACTCATACAAGCCATGCAAACTCCAGACGTTGTTCAATCTTGCCTTCCGACGCGGGAGGGTTTCACTCAACCCCAGATCCTCTTCATACACATGCTGTGCTTGACTAACGTGACCCTGTTCGAGAAGCAGAGCCCCGAGGGCATGTCGTGCAGGCTGCATCCATGGCGGAGGATCAGCGTAGACAAGGTTATCCTCCAACTTTGTCGCTTGTCGCAAGTGATCGAATGCCTCCTCAAAGTTGCCCTCACGATACTCGATTTCTCCTTTCAACATAGCCGATCCGATCTCAAGGACGTCCACCTCGCGAACGGGCAGGCTGTTCAAGCGAGACGGGGGAACCTTTTTGCGAGCAGCCTCAAATTTTTCTCTTTCCTCTTTGGCTTCATCTACGCGATTCAATACCGCCAAAGCAATGCCGCGGGCATAGTAGATCATCGCCGTCGTGGACGCGTATAGCTCCTTATCCTTGGGGAGCTGTAGATCTAATATATCATTCCACCGTCCAAAGCGAATCAAGACATGGGCTATGGCTCCCAGAAACCCTTCTGCCCAATTCGCAATAGGAGGAGTGGTTATAGACAAGAGCTCGGGGGTGAGGATTTCCTGAAGACGCTTCATGCCGGAGATGGCCTCTGCAAAGTTCCCAGAGATGACTGCACCATAGACCTTCACGTAGATGTTGTGCGATCGGTACATGATATACAAGAGGGTGCCCGGCTCCCTGGCAAAGTATTTGTCGTCGACAGCCATTGCCTGGTTGTTCGAATCAATAACCGCTCGATAGTCACCACAAGCGACGTAAATATGGCTAGGCATATGCAGCATATGCGAACCATCTGGCACGAGTCGAAGGAGTCGATCCGCAGCTGGTAGTGCGACCTCCGGATACGGTGCCATCTCCATGAGATGGATATACAGATGGCAGTAGGCCGGATTGTTACTGGCCCCGGGGAGGGACGCCATAGCTTTCTCAAGCACCCGACGAGCCTCGGTAGTATGGGAACCGCAGGGCTCGCCGGTGTCAAGATTCCACAGAGCCCGCGGGGATATGCACATGAGTGACTCTACAAAGAGAGCCACGATATCAGGGTCCTCCGGATAAGCCTCGTAGACGGGTCGCATGGCGTCTGCATAAGCACGATCCAACGCATGGAGATCCAGATCCTCTGGCTTCGTTTCATCATCATCTCTGGGGAACCGAGCCCCCAGGGCCTCAATCAGGGCCCTTTCGGCCGGACTCGCCCCTTGTGCTGCCAGAGCCCGGGCGCGCTGGAGTACGGGTTTCATTTCCGTAATAGTTGTGGCCAGGTCCACTGGGTCAAAGCGAATCCAGGCCTTGTTGTAGTTTGGTCCACGGGCATATGCTAGGCCCCAGGACGCCATGGCACAACTCTCATCGGCCTTGCTGGCTTTAATGAAGCAGCGGGAGGCTTCTTCATGGTTGAAGGAGTAGGACCAAACCAGTCCGCGGTTAAACCATAACTGGGCGTCGGAGGAGTTGGTCGTTACGGTTCGGCCGTACGAGCCTAGGTTGAAGTAGTCGTCGGTCATGACAGTGGTGGAAGGAGATGATGATATTAATGTCTCATTTGAAGCGAAGAAGAATGGGGTGAATCTGGGTCTAGTCTGGATGTTATTGTTGCTGCTGACAGTAAGTTGCCAGGTGTTCCGGGCGGGGTCGGCCATTTTATAGTTTATTGTTGTACTACTACTGGCAGTTGGGCTGGAAGGTGTGATCGGGGGTCTACTACTTTTAGCTGCATACGTCGTATGCAGCTACTACTCCTCACCCAATACTGATAATACTGATAGTAATAACATGAGGAGATATGCAAGTCGATCGGCAATACCACCATACCACTGTCCATCAGACGAAGAAATGATTGGACATAGTATTGATCCACCCAAGTTGTGGGACAAGACATTCATCGGCATTGGACCGGTGATAAGATGCTACCAGAGCAGGAAAGATTGATATCCGAGTACTCCGTGTAATGTCTTCAAAAATAATAATAAGTTACTCGATACTACTTAAAATGCCGGTGGAGCTGCTCTCCTTTCATTCCCCGGAGATAAGCGGGAGACAATCTTAATCAGGAAATGCGTCTTTTTCGCGGGAAAATTAGAACTCCCAATATAAGATGAGAAGTAGTAACCCTACCACAGACACTTCCCCAACTGATTGAATATGATTTCACCATGACTCCCAATATCATGTTACTATATAGAACAAGTCCAATCCTCCACATAACTCCTCACAGTCGTCGCCTCTTTTCCATCCTCTCCCCAACACAAGCCTGTCGATCCACTATTACCCAGACCTCAAACTGTCACAAATCATCATCCCCAGCAACCGGAAACTCTTCCTCATTATGTTCAACTACCACAAAACAACCACAACCACAATCCCCAAACCCCCTCACCTTTAACTTCTGGACGAGCAAACCCGCCTGGAAGCGCGCCAGCATCAACACCTTCCGCTGCCTCGTTGGCTGCACGCTGGGTGATTTCTCCGCCCTATGGATCCTCCAAACCTACTATCCCCATCTAGGCATGGGTCTCATTATGGGCGCCTCGAGTACGTCTCCGGTCTAGTCTCCATGCAATTTGATAAACCGTGTGAAGAATGTCTAATGAAGAGCATAGTGGCCTCCGGAATCACCACATCCATCATCCTCGAGACCATCCTCCTCCGCCGTGGCGCTGACCAACTCTCCTGGCCAGCGGCTGCCCGCACCGCCATGGGAATGAGCATGGTGTCGATGTTGGCCATGGAGACGGCGGAGAATCTGGTCGATTATCATCTCACGGGTGGGATGGTGAATATGGCTGACCCAATGTTCTGGACTGCTGCGGCTACGTCTATCGCGGCAGGTTATTTGGCGCCGTTGCCGTATAATTATTTGAGGTTGAGGAAGTATGGGAGGGCTTGTCATTGATGAACTTGATTAGGATTCCTGTGTAGTCCATAGTATGTAATTATATCCTCTGCTCTGTATGTATATCGTTTGCTACGGATCGGCAATAGAGTAATCTCAAAATCAATTTAGAGATGTCTCGGCTTTCTACGTCTAGCGGTTGTGTGAAGAACAGCTTCATGGGTATTATGTCTCTGGATTTGGCAATTATAGTAACACTTTTTACAAGCCATGGAGTATAAGTATAAGGACCACCCTTTAATAGGGGGCCCGGATTAGTTGTATGTTAGTTCAAGCAAAACACAAAGGTGGCTTTCCGCCCCTGCACGTGGGTCAAGTACGCATCGAGCTCATGATCTTCGTCAATCACAAACGGAATCTCATTGCCCTTCTCATCACGGTCCATTCCCTCGATCTTCGTGACCACGGCGTCCGGGTACTTCTCGCCGACAATCTGCTGCAGCTCAGCCACCGATCGCGCCGTCAGCTTCTCCACCCAGGTCTTCGAGTCGCCGTGCAGCGGACTCTGGGGATGGATGCGAAGATAGACAGGTACATGCAACACAGATTGCCCCAGCATCGGGTCTACATAGCCAAAAGCAGCTGCGGAATCGGAAGGGCCCGTCGCGAAGGAAGGGTCATTAGCAGCTTGCAGCAGGGAGGGATCAATTTGCATGTCACTGAGATCACTCGGAGCACTGGCCAGCGCCTGCGAGGCGAGTGTGCTGATTCCATTGGCAATGCCACTCCCGTAGCTGCTGCTGACTGGAGGACTGCCCGGTTCTGAGTGAGGGGCCGGGGCGTGAGGGACGGATGGTTTGCGGGCGGGATCCCGCTTGGTCTGGTCATCGCGAAGCCGCTTCATGACGTCGCGACACAGCACTTCCAGCGCTTTCACTTTCGCCGTGTGCTCCGGGTCCGCCGGGCCTGGCGCAAGAATCTGACGTAGGAGCTCCGAGTTTTGGATCCATTGGTCCTTCAACTCCTTCCAGTGTTCGTCACCAGCCTCCAGCTTACTCGTGAAATGGTCCGCCTTCAGGGTGTTGTAGAATGCATTCCGTATCTGGCGGCTCTCCTCCGGATTGATCCCGAGGACATTCTTGGCCTCGGCAATGGTCATTCGCCGCTCCAAAGTCCTCATCCTCTTCGTCACATCAGTGCATAACACATCCAAGGCAAGTGTTTTAGCTTCTAGCTGGTTGGGATCATGCCAGAACACCTGCTGGAGATGTGGTGATCCCTCAATCAGTTTGTTCTTGGCGTCCTGCCATCTCTCAGGTCCCGCAACGGTCTTTTTGATGAAGCCTGCTTCTTCACAGATCCGTTGGAACTGATCCCGTACCTGGCGATACATCGCATTGTCCAGCCCGAGATACTTTTTGCTTTCGTCAATGGTCGTCTCAGAGGGGAAGCGGGGAGGTCCCGGCGGGTCAGCGGGCAGCCCTGCCCATCCGCGAGTCCGGCGGCGACGCTTCCTGCTCGCCCAACGCTCTTCACTTTCCGCTTTGAGGCGCTCGAGGCGCTCCTTGCGCTTGGCAAGAACTTCGGGAGGTAGGTTCGGGGAGGTAGGGTCGTCTGTCGTGGGGGTGGGGAGGTTCTCGGTCTCGTCAAAGGGCGGTGCTTCGGTTTTGTACACTTCCTGCTGGAGGGCGAGGAGTCCTTCATCTTCGGGCAGCTGGATTGGCGTCTGAATGCGCGATTGTGACTTCATCCCGTTGGGGACCCGAAGCAGCCAGCGGTTCTTGGCCCGCACCCGCATCAACTCCCGCTCTTTGATCTCAAAACCCTCCTCATTCAGTATGCGAAGCATATCCCGCTGACTTGTATTCTTCTCCCATAATTGCTTGACTCGTGCTACGAGCTTGGCGTTTTTATGCGCAGGATTCTGTTTCGATGGGAAGCCCCACCGTTTGAATTGAGTCTGAAACGCGCGTTTACTATAAAATCGCGCGAGGTTAGATAAAGTAGCAGACGCCAAGGGATAGATTTGGGATATTTGGCATTGAATATGTGAACAGAAGCGCACAAGAAGTATCACTGATGGCGCGTGCGTAGAATCACTGACCTTGGGGCGAACTGGTAGACATTCTTCATGTATTCCATAATCTCCTCCAAGGCCTTCTTATCCTTGATATACATCTGATAGCAGATCTCCCGCTTGCCATCCCAGTCGTAAACCATGGTGACGGGATGAACAAGGGAGGTGACACACCCTCCCCAGTGGAGGTAGTGCCTGGGGGGATAACAACCCAGCCAGCCCAGCTGGGTGGAGTGTGGAGAGAAGTTGGGGAAGGGTGAAAGATGTTGAGTGACTGCTCGAGACACTGGGGGTGCTTGCTGTGCCCCGTAGTCGCGCCTGCGAATCCGTCGTGCTTCTGGACCGCCGTAGTGCTAGTCGGTTGAGGGGAGCCAGACGGTGCACTTGCGCAACAACCTTGAGGAGTCACCTGACTTGCTGACTGGCAATCGGCGCGGATTAATAATCCAATGCCGATATGCCCCTCCGCGTTGTGCCGTTACGTGATCGGCGGCCTCCCCGCAGATTACTAGATTTCTTCGTCTACTACTACTTCTTCATCTCTTGCTCTCTTCTCTGCGAATTGAACTCTTAGATTGACATTACCACTACTGTGGATTCGTCAGGTACTGTCGGACACATCTTTTGAACTATATCTCGCAATGGCCGACTCCGTCTACGCGGATTATCCACCCCACCTGAACCCCGCACAGAAGGAGTTCCTGGTCCGGACAGTGAAAGATTGGACTGTTCAACATGGATTGATGATCCGTCCTGCACCGACATTCATCTCCAAGGAGTCAGACCCTCAGGGCGTCGTGGCGACCAGTGCCCCGGTCACCTTGTTTCCTAGTCCTTTTCCCAAATCCTGCTTTGAAGAGGCCCAGGCCCTTCAAACAGTGTACAACCAACTCTATGCCGCGATCACCTGTGATGAACAATGGATTGGGGATATCATGGAAGAGTAAGGGGCACCTCTGAGCCATAATTCTGCTCTCAGCTTTGTGGAACAACTTCTGCGTTCTGCTGCACTTCGTTTGCTTTCGAGCTCCAGATGTGGATGCTAAACCGTTCTTCACTTTAGCCTCATTGACGTGGACGACTTCATCTCGCACCTCTGGAATGTTCACCTCGCTGTTAAGAAGGAAGGTTACGTCCAGAACCTCTCCCTTGGCCTCTACCGGTCCGATTACATGCCTCACATGCCGTCTGCCTCGTCTCCTCCCTCCTTGAAGCAGGTCGAGTTCAACACCATCTCATCATCCTTCGGCGGGTTGTCAACGCTCGTGACTTCCCTGCATACTGAGCTTCTCAACTCCCCACCGGGTCATCCCCTCGCTTATCCGTCGCACCCTCTGCTTAGCTCGAGCCAGCCTCCAAAGAATACGTCTGTGGAGACCCTCTCTGCAGGCTTGGCTGCAGCACACACTGCCTATGGATCATCCAAGTTATCCCCAGCCCTGCCTACATGCATCATCTTTGTTGTCCAGGAAGGTGAACGGAACGTCTTCGATCAATTAGCTCTCTCGAGGCAACTCACCCAAACTCACAAGATCCCCGTGTTCCGCTTGCTCAGCTCCGAAGTCCTCACGCACACTCACATTCCTGCCTCCAATCCTTCCCGGCCGCTCATCTACCGCCCCCCTCACTCTGAAGGAGTAGAGTTTGAAGTTACAACAGTGTACCTCCGTTCTTTCTACACGCCGACCGACTACAAGTCCGAGCGAGACTGGGATGCTCGTATCCATCTGGAGCGTTCCGCCGCCATCAAATGCCCCACTGTCTTGAACCAGCTTGCGGGATCTAAGATCGTACAGCAGGTGCTCGCGGAAGCCCAGGGGCCGGATCATCTTGCCAAGTTCCTTGCCGGTACTGATTCATCTACGATTGAGAGGCTACGAGCGACCTTTGCTCCGCAATACGACCTTTCCTCAAGTGGCCGTGGGCGCAGCCTCGCCTTGGCTCCCGAAACAGCAGCCAACCACGTGCTGAAACCCCAGCGCGAGGGCGGTGGGAACAACATCTACAAAGAGGCGATCCCTGATTTCCTGCGATCCCTCCCTGAGACGGAATGGAAGCGATGGATCTTGATGGAGTTGATCCAGCCACCTGCCGAGGCCAAGAACGTAGCACTGCGACCCGACGGAGAGGTCCTCAGCGGAAATGTCATCGGAGAACTGGGTATCTACGGCACGATCCTCTGGGACCAGGCTGGAGGCAACATCCTGCACAACGAACAGGGCGGTTGGCTCATGCGGACCAAGGGCAAAGATGTCAACGAGGGAGGCGTTGCCACCGGATTCTCCAGCCTGGACAGTGTCATTCTCTATTAGAAAAATATACGCCATCTGTACACCAGCTACATCTGCCATATATATCTATTATAGACAATATATAGATAAATAATCACTTCTCAGAACCACCTCTACTACTACTCGTAGAATCTTCCCTAACCCAATGCCCACTCTTCCCCCCCTTCTTCTCCAACAGCCTCACCCCCTGAACTACCATCCCCTTATCCACTGCCTTCAACATATCATATACCGTCAATGCCGCCCCCATTGTCGCCGTCATAGCCTCCATCTCCACCCCCGTCCGTCCCTCACAACTCACACTAGCCACGACCCTCATTCCCCCATGCCCCAAATCCCACTTACCACCATTATCACCATGCTTAGCCGACGCAGCCTCCGGCCCAACCAACTCCACATCCACCTCCACCCCCGTGATCCCTATTCCCGGATGACACAGGGGTATAATATCTGGTGTCCTCTTCGCAGCCATAATCCCCGCGATGCGCGCTACACTAAACACATCCCCCTTTTTGGTCATCCCGCCGTCGCGCAGGATCTCCCAGGGCCGCGGGTTGGAGAATTGGATATGGCAGGTTGCTGTTGCGAGGCGGGAGGTTATGGGTTTGCTGGATATTTTGGTCATGTGCACATTTTGCGAGGCGTTGAGGTGTGGGAGGTCGGGGTCCGGGGTTGTTGGGAGGGATATGGGTTTGGTGGTGTTGTTGTTGGTGGATGATTCATTGTTGTTGTTTGCACGCGAGGTGTGGTGGTGTCTTGATTGGGGGAGGTATGATCGTGGGATGCGCTGCCCTGGTGTTTGGCGGGGGATGGAGGGAGTGGACTTATAGTTCGAAGAATGCTGGTTTCGCAATGATGGGTTATCTGTTTGGTGTCTGTTAGCGGAGAAGGAGTACATGCATGGCACATGATGCTGGATAGAAAGTATTCAGTGAATTTATCGCTTACCTACCAATAAGTAATATGGGGTTGCAGCTGGGTATTCTGGCGGCGTGATGAGTTGAATAGCTGCGGGAACAGCGAAGGGATGACAAAAGCGGCGCAGCTCCGCGACTGCGCCATAGGAGTTCAGTCATTGTTTGGAGAATAGTTGGGTTGGCGCAAACAGTGGGCTATAGGATCACTGTGAGATAGACGAAGAATTGACCCTTGATACGTGTTGAGTGCGATGTGGCGGGAGTGAGTCTAGAGGGAGGAGCTATCGGGGAAGCTTTGGATGTTGTTTCTTGTCAGTGGGGATTATCCCGCCGCAAATCGCGGCGGAGATCCCCGGTGCGGGTCACGTGAGGATTGCGGTCAGGAGAAATCACCGGTTGTTTTCATGATAGTACATCATAACGAAGATTATGTTAGATGGTCAGCCCGTCATCTGAAGTGAATGATAAATGGTCGCGTGGCCGATATTCATTGAGAACTAGTAGTAGTATCACCTTGCCCTTGTCCACCCTCATTTCGATACTATATATCTATACTTAGTACCCTCTTAGGACTGCCGCATGATCGCCATAGTGCCAGTGATTCTAGTATGTTTGGATAGTCTGCGCAGTGACTCTCCATTGAAAGAGACGCAGCTCCTAGTTTCGGTCGAGCCAATCCAACCAGAGACAAAATCCCAGGACATCTCATAGGCCTCTAGGCCGGAGATAGCAATGACGGGCTTACTATTCGTGGCCTTGGGGTACCACGGCGATTACTTTCATTTCCACTACAGACGCTACTATAATCATTGATTCAAAACCCCGTCAGTCAGCATCTGCTATAGTATGTTCAACTGTTCCATGAGGTCAGACATGCCACTCGCCGTGGCTTGAGACATTTCCATTTCCCCGCCCGTGAGTCTCAGACGCTCAACCACCATGTGAGCAGCTGCGTGATGGGTTGATGCGATGAAGAGATGACTTGATGCTGTTGTACGACTGAGCAAGCAAGCAAGCAAACAAGCAAGCAGGAGTTTCTCCGCATTACTACCGACGCCACCAGTTACAATCTCACGTCATATCGTATCGAATGTCCAAGCAGTACCCGAATATAGTTGAAGTGGTTCAAGAACTGTCGGATGAGATTGAATATACTACTTTGCTCCGCAGACAATCCGATTTGCATAATGGACTACAAGTGGACAAGATGCCATTTCTCGATGTTTGGTGTGGTTCCTGACCCGTTCACCTTCCCCGCGGCCATTCCCCCGCATTTTCCCCCTCCTCTTCGAAAGCCCTCCAATGCACCAAGACCCTAGTAGCAGGAGTGGCGTTGTCGCATTGCAGCGACACGCAGGAGGACTAGTCTGGTCATTGGCGACGCTTTCCATATCAGGAAGTATCAGGCAATTGGCGGGGATCAGAAAGAGTCAAGCCGGATGCAAGCCCATCAACTATCGAAAACTAGTTCGAGTTCGAACAGGGTCCGGTAAAACCTCTCCAGTCAGCACTCTGTACTTGTGAGACATACACCTTCAGTGTCGAGCCTCCCTCTCAGGCTCCAAGCGATCCTGGTCGGTAGGACGCCTGAATACCACTTCCCTGTCTCCCGAGTGGTTCACCGTTGTCTCGGTCAGCTGCGGAACAAACCTGGTGCTGCATTAGAAGGAGGATAACTTTAGTCTCAGGCTCTAGAAAACAAGGACCGTCTTTCGTTATGGAATGGATTAGGCGGTCTTGGCCATCGGGAGCGGAAATACTACGACGGATATGAAGAGACGTCGTGCAGAAAGGGAAGACTACCGCCGTCAGTCCTACTGAGTAGGTGAATTCCACCTCACAAGGTAACACCCGGAAGCAAGACCCTCGTCACCCGATTTACCCGGAGTGTCCGTCGTGGTGAGACTTTTGCAGACTATCCTCGCTATACAGAATCACCAACCAGGATCATTCCAAGACATGACTTGCCTGACGAGAGCCCAGGGCAAGATAGGCGTCTCTAGTAGTATCTCACTGATGCCTCCATAGAGGTAGCTTTGCCATCATGGAAGACTATATAAATCACCTCCCTACCCTACCATCCAGACTCATCTCTCATCCTCAGAAACAGCCTCTCTCCTCTCAAGATATTAAGAACTACAAGAATATCCACCATGTATCTCACATACATCACCCTCGTTACCCTCCTCTCACTCGCTTCAGCCGCAGTACACTTCCCCCGCGACGGCACTCCCACCACCCTCACAGCCGCCGCAGCCATCAATGCCGTGGCTACCCCTTCTCCAATCCAGCCCGGCATGACCAGCAACTGTGACTCCTTCCACCTAGTATCCAGCACCGACACCTGCGTCACCATTGCCTCCAGCGCCGGTATCACACTTGCCAACTTCTACTCATGGAATCCGGGTGTTGGCTCCGGCTGCGACACTCTCTGGCTGGGGTACTATGTCTGTACCGGAGTGAGTGACACTACCACCACTACAACCACATCTACGACTACCACCTCCACCACTACGAGTGTTACCACTCCATTGCCCACTCAATCGGGGATGGTGAGTAACTGCGATGCCTTCTATCTGGTTGCCTCTGGGGATACCTGTACGACAGTGGCGCAGAAGAAGAGTGTGTCAGTGACGGATATTATCGCTTGGAACCCGGCAGTGGGGACGGGTTGTACTAATTTGTGGTTGGGATATTACATATGTGTGGGGGTGTTGTAAGGTTATGGTCGATGTGGGAGATTATGAATGATGTGGTCCTTGACAGGTGTGCCGGTTGACGATTTGGTATGTTGGACATCGTTTTTGTATGGACTTAGTCTAGTAGCTAGGGATTGAGTAATAATGAACTACTTTGTTTGATCGGCGTTACAACGGGTACACCCATTTAGTCCAGTACATATAATCCTAGTCTTCCATAGCAGGAGTCTACCAGAATAAGCCATATAGAGAAAAGCCGGCCTGAAGGAATAAATAGAGATAGCGCATAGTTAGGGTGATCTTGTGGCCTGACAGCATTTTGATGCACGTAGCATTGAATCGCTGCTGTACCACCTGGTTAGCCTCTCACTTGGTAGATCAGATGATGAAGATTACCAAGACCAGAGACTTCGAACATATAGATCGTAGATACAATTTAGTAACAAGAACAATGAGATAAATACTACGTAAGCCAAAGATTCTCGTGGTGGTTCGATACCAATAGTAAAGTTATCAAGAGTAGCCCCGAGTGCGAGATCCCGAGAGACGACGTATATGATAGACGTCAGTTTGTCACAAAGTCAAAAAGGACTTGAGTTGTAATAGAAGCTATTGTACAGAAATTGACAGACACATAGGGACATGTATCTACACCACTTCTAGAGAGGCCCATGGTGCTCAAGAAATAAGAGTCTAGTAGTTGTGGAAGCATTATGCAATGTTGAGAAGAGAGTTGTTTCAGGATCGAGTCGAAGATATAAATAAATGAAGAGACGGGAAAGAAGAGGGCTTAAACCATGGAGTAGGATTTATTTTCTATATGTATTGTGGCATTTTTCTAAACCGAACTAACTAATACATATTCTGTCATACATTATTTGCAATTGGGATCAGGTCAAATGGAAACATGATAGTAAAATAACAGCTCAGGGAAGAAAAAAAAGAAGCAAACAAAAGTAGAGCTAAGCACAATTAGAGCACAACAACTTGAACAGGACATATTCTTTCATTCTTTCACTCCAAAAAGTAGCCTCGAGAACGGATCAAGGAACAATTGAGCAGAAAGCCAAGCATAAGCTAACGAGTGACAGGTCCGACAACTGCTGGAACCCTCGAGCAAAATTAAATAACAGGAAGCCGAAATGAGTGAAAGACAAAACTAGGATTCATTGAACAGACCGGCAATCAATTTTGGGTGAAGCTCGCCGCAAAGTTCCAATGTTGGCTCTCAGCCGGGACATTCTGGTTGGCCGCGGTTGTTCGATACCTAGATCGTGACTGGCGAGAACCACGCGAGGTACTCGGTCCTTGAGTACGCCTGGGAGGAGCGGGAGTTCTTGCAGGAGGCTGGGTGTTCGTTCGCGACGAACCACCACGCTGATAAGGAGCACCGCTCTGCCGTCGGTCAGATTCCCTACGGTGGTATGCGCGGGTGGGTGTGCCAGGCTCTTCAGGGCTGCTCCGCCGATGGCTGCGGCGGGGAGTTGGGGTCAGAGTAGCGGAAGACTCGACTGAAGGAGAGGTGCTCGCATTGGAACATGGTGTTTGGTTTGGCGATAGGAAAAAATCGTCTTCCGGCTCTATGTACGTATCGTCTGCGTGCTTGTCCGCCTCGAGCTTTGGCATAACCAAATGTGGAAAGAGGTTGCGGCGGTCCTTCTCGACTGCTGTGCATATGTTGCTGAGATATCTATAGCGCTGTCTGAATATCAAGTTAGTATCCATGGCTTGAAGAATCATGAACTGGAATAGTAGATAGCAACTTACCTCGCAGTATCAGCAGAATAGCGATCATCTCCTCTTTTCTTCACTAGCTTCTCGAATACGTGCTTTGAGAGGGTTCCTTCGTTCAAAGCTTGGATCATTCCTCTCAGTAGCATGCAATCTTCAATGTAATTCCACGAGATTGGAGACCGTCTGGTTATTGATGGGGTGCGCGGGGGCGTCTCAGGTCTGTTCCTGGTTTGCCGTCTCGAAGAGTTTCGGGGCATAGTGATATGCAGGTGGCTTTACCACGAGAAGAGAGTGGGAGTTGAGAAAGGCTAACTAACGGTCAAGTCTTGGTGAAGTATGAAAACTGAACGGGTACGGATTGTGTCTTATAGGGTAGCCTGAGGAAAGCTTTTCAGCCCACACGATGTGGGAAGTCCTGGTAGTCTAAAGCACTTTTGTATTTTTTTTTTTTTTTTTTTTTTTCAAGTTGATGTATAGACATCGACCTACTTGCTTTGGGTGTGGCTGGTAAAGACACAAGTTCTATGTCTGTCCGACTGCAGTCTGCTGTGATCTGGCCAACTGGTGAGCAGGTTAAACGCAGGCACCGAGCAAAATCTGTGGGTGATATATCCGATATACCATGAATGGGTCTTCCTACCTGACGGCTGAGTCGGGAAGTGGGTCTACAAGCAGGTACTCTGGACTGAAACATCCTTTTGAATGTGATCTGTATAGGTGGGGCTTACAGGACTCAAGCTGAGTGATATGTCAACAGTTGTATACTTACTGTACGGAGTATGCATAATTCTTCTGACTGACTGGAAGGCACAGTCGGCGGATTCGGATTCGAGAAGTTGAACCTCAACTGATCCGATAGACTAAGCACTGACAGTGTCAGGGTACAATACTTCCTAGATATGTGAGTAATCATATCAGCGGGCTCTTGACTACTAAGTACACCAGTAACCGTCGTAGGCGATCAGCTCCATTGAACAAACTGACAGGCCGATGACTTTCGGACGCCATGGACCGGCTCGAGCCGCCTTCTGCAAAAATCCCAGCAGATCCTCAATTTGAACACTGCTTGGGATCGTTAAAACGCAGCCAATAAACTCCGACATGCATCTATTTTCTTACAATACGAAGTGCCATGTAGCAGCTACTCCCCGTATACGTAAGTACTACACCAAGCTCTCCTAGCAGGTGATAATGTATGCTAATGTATTCAGGCCCTAACTCGGCTATAGAGCGTTGAATCTGGGCCGCTTTCGACCGCGGCAAAAGTAGCGTCCGCCCGATCTCGGCCCGGCTTGCATGACAGAACCTTGTTCGAGGTTATTCTACTCTCGTCTTCCTTTTACGGTTATGCCTCCAGTCTTCGAGCCAATGCCACTTAACGAGCCAGCAGCTGCTTCGCTCAGAGAGTCAGGAAGCAAGCGACTCGGCGCGAAGAAGCAACCCGTGAGTGGAACTCCACAACTTTCTGCCCACCACCCCTGCCTTCACGATTCATCGCACACAATTCCCGCCTAGCTTATCAGACGATGTGCTTCCCCGCGCTCCATTGGATCTATCAACTTCATCTGCGTATTTTTAGCGTGCAACCACAAATCCTACACTGTGTATTTCATACCCTAGTATGGTGTATTGTACAAGTTATATTCGCACTCGATCTATCCAATACCTCCCTCAGTTCCAGAGGTCGAACTCGAATTGTGCACACAAATCACGCCTACAGTTTGCATTCTTTCCCCTCCTCTTCGCTGCTTAATCCCTGTCTATAGCTTCACCGCCAAAGAGATCGGAGTGATCGGACTTTGCGTCGGGGACTGTCGCCAGTTTCAGCATCCCCAAAATCTCGACACAGGAGGCTAGCGCATGCTGCATTTACGGATTCACGGGAGAAATCGTGACTGAGATGCTTGGTTGCCTTGATGAAAACTTCCGATCCCAGGCGGAATCAAAGACTGCAATCTAGCATGGGTATACCGGCTAGTAATAGCTTTTGTCACTTGAAGTCAGGGCCCTGGTAGGTCTTTAGCTCGAACTAGACTGTAGCTGAAACTTCCGCATTATTCTGTCAGTTAGCCCTGTTTTGCTGTGCTTCCAGCCAGGTCGGTGGCCCACAATCATGACTTTACGGGTCGTTGCCATGGAGAGGCTGCAAGAGCCCGTATAATGTGGACATGAGTTGCGTGCTGATGCTTCGTAATTCAGGACATCTAAGACTACCCTCTTAGTGTACTCTCCTACGCCGAGATTTTTGTCATGTCCCAATGGTTGCCCTCATGCTCCATGAAGATATCCTGTAGAAGACCCAGATAAGGCGTAATCCCTGGCTTCTCCACCAAGTCCAACTCGTCGAAAGCCTCTCAGCTAGTCACACCAGGGCCCCGTGCTCCAACTCCCCTGCCTGTTATCGTAATGGCTGCTATTAGCCTTGAAAGGAGCCCAGTAAAAATACTTTGGAGCGCATAGTGAGCTGGTAAACCCTCTACAGCTCCCCCTTCTGACAGCGCGGCAGGACAAGCATTCTTAATGTCCAAATATGCCTGAAAGTTGTGGCGAGCGCTCTAATGTAGCTGGAGAGCTAGCCAGTTCGCTCGTTGCAGTATGTCAAGATTAGACCGTGCTCCCCAGATTAATGGCGGGGGTACTGACCCATCCTTCGAATAGAAACCTATAGTCTCATGGACGTATTCTGCTGTAATAACTGAGGGACTGATATACGTCGACAGTAGTATCACATGTCCAGTATGACTGGTTGGCTGTTGAATGCATTCTGAACGTCTTTCTCAGTCTCGCAGCACAGTTTATTTTGCCCCTACTTGTTGAATAAGTAGTCGAGCTATGCTTTTCGTGGAGTGACACAGCGAAGGCGATCCCACACCCGCTATCAAGATAATTCACCACTATCAATGTTACCTCGGTCCCATACTGGCCATCTCGACGTTCATGGTTGACTGTCACTCCCCGTATCCTCTATATGCTTCCAGTTGCAAAAGCCAAAAGCAATGGGTACCCGACTTGACCCCATCGGGTACGTCACCATTAGTGACTGTCCACAACACACGCAAGACCAACAACAACAACCCCATCACCTTCCTGAACTGGTCTATTCCGAAGAGCCGAATGCAGATGTCCAGGCGATCTAATCGAAATCCCGGCTACCGGCATGAATGAAACCTTGTTCGAGCTGCCGCGTGTTCCGTTCATCCAAGGTCACCGCCACACCGTCCGAGCAACAGAGGGTCCGATCAGTCAAACGACCAACCACCAGCTGGAAATTATGAGTGAACCCGAACGAGGCAATTTCAAATCGGTGCTCGGTATGTTGTCTTTCGTCTACCCGAGGCAATTGCGCTTAATTCCTTTGTTTACCTCTGCTGCCTGTTGTCACTTCTCCGCCCGATTGCCGGAGAATTATTCCCAGGTACCCAGGTATAGAGACATGATGAAAGTGGCGTCAGCATGATCACAGTCACACGAACAGCCTTCCTCTTCCCTTTTCGCGTCTACTGCACCCCGCACGTAAGATCTCTAGCTTATAAGCTCCCCCGGATCCTCGCCCCAGGATCCTTCTCCCCACCAACACCAGCATCAGAATCCTTCTCTCCACTCTACTCCCCTTACCCCAAACATAAGCACAATGACCTACTCAACCACCCCAATTGACGTCCCTCGCGACGCCCAGCGCGTCTTCGAAGTGATCAAAAATCAAGGCATTGCCCTCATCCCCGGCAGCATCGGCTACGGCCTGGTGGCCAGCGACCCAGCAGCCCTGGACCGCCTCTTCACAACGAAGCGCCGCAAACCACACAAGAAGCACGCCATGATCGGAAGCTACGCGCTCCATCAAGAAATTCACGTCCTCCCGGCCCGCGAAGAGTCCATGGTTCGGACCTTAACCGTGGATCTAGATGTGCCCGTCGGCGTCGCGGCCCCGTTTCGGCCCGACCACCCAATCATCCAGAAACTTGGCCCTGAGTTGCTCTCACGCTGCACGCACGACGGCACCCTTTCCATGCTAGTCAATGGAGGACCCTTCCAGGAGGAACTCATTCGTTTGTGTCATGCAGCGGGATTACCACTGCTCGGTTCGTCGGCCAATATCTCAGGGTCGGGGATGAAGGTCCGCATTGAGGATATTGAGCCCGAGATAGTGGAGGCCGCGGATATCGTGATCGATTATGGGAAGCGCACGTTTAGTGTGCCGCGGGCGTCATCGACAATTATCAACTTCCGGGATATGAAGCTCGTGCGGTATGGCGCTTGCTATGATGTGATTCAGGACGTATTGAAGAAGTTCTATGGTGTCGAGCTGCCGGAAGATCCGGGCAAGGAGGAGTTATTTTCGGGACATGTTGATGTTCAGCAGGCGACTGTGTATTGAGAAGGCACTTCCTTTACTATACTATGCTCTATATACCGAGTGTATACATGAACAAACCTACACCCTTAACCTTATAAGACATCCTAATCATACCGATAACAGTAGTCCCCCCCAAACACATCCATAACCTCCTCCACCCTCCTCGGCTCATCCAACACCCCAAATTCCATCACCGTATCCAGTGTCACCACCGGCGCCCCAGGCGGGTCATGCACGACCGTCGTCCCATTCACAGCCCCTTTCCTCTCCTCCCAATCCCCCCACTGCCACAACGTCCACACTCTATCCACCATAGCATGATGCAAAAAGAACACAGGGTCCTGCGCCGACGCAAACGTGTCCAACATATTCGCCCCCACACTGGCATGCCCGCCCTCATGAGCCCCCGCATACCCATTCGCACTTGGACTCATCAGCTCCAAGAACTCCTGGAGATCGGCGGCCGCAATCATGTCGTCCACTTTGTCCTGGGTGTTCAGGGCAGCGAGCCAGTCCGTTGTGAAGTTCCGAGTGAGACAGCGTGGGTTGTAGGCAAAAGCGTTGGCGGGGAGGTCGCCGTAGGGGATTACTTGCGAGAGGGAGAAGGGGCCGAGGTGCATGACCCAGGTCGAGAGTGGGCCGGTGGTTACGCACCCGCCGCCGGTGCCGGGCGATGGGCAGGGAGAGATGTTTAAGGGGCATAGGGTGGAAGTGTTGTTCTGGGGTAAGCCGTTGCCAGAGAGGGAGGTGGGGGATCCATCGAAGAGGGGCGTGGCGGTTAGGTTAGTGGTTAGGGGCCAGTTCCAGTATCTGGAGGGATAATTTGGGAGTTAAGAGGGAAAATTGGTTGGGGAGGGATGGGGAGAGAGCTTACGGAACACTTCCTTGGTAGTTGCATTCATC